TCCTCAGTGGGACCTCAATCTGGTCCTCTCCAGACTCACAGGAGAGCCCTTTGACCTGTTGGGCTCTTGTTCCCTCTCTCATTTACCGTGGAGCATTGCCTTCTTTGTAGCAGTGACGGTGGCTAGATGAGTGTCAGAGACTAAAGCCCTAACAGCAGAGCTGCATTATGCAGTATTACACAATGACAAGGTGCAGCTGTATCCCTGCGGGCTGATGGTATTGTCCTTTGGTGCTAACCAGGACTTTTTCCTTTTGATGTTTAATCCCATGCCTTATGCCAAGAGTGAGGAGAAGAGGCTGCCTACTCTGGATGTCCGGCATGCCCTTGCATTTTACCTGGAGCACCCCAACCTCTTCGGGAAATCAGCCCAGTTCTTCTTTGCCACTGTGGACAGGATGAAGGGCTTCCCAGTGTTGTTAGGATTTCTAATTGTATCATCATCTGTATCAGAACTTAGTAGGAATTGGCACACATCACCAATTGTGATGGGGACTCGAAAGAGCTCCAGTGTCCTTGACAGTATTTCTGCCCTGTGTTCTGATCCAGGATGGCTGTAGAGCTGTGAGATAGTCTTCAGTTCACGTTCTCGGCTTGCTGTGTCATCACCTGGCAGGCTATTGAAAACACTGGGTTTGGTAGGACCATGCTGCAGGCAATCCATCCATCTCAGTTGGAATGGATGTGAGCAAGCACTCCAAGAAGAAAAGACAGATACCTGCTAGGTATTCTTCCAGATGTGTTGCTCATGTCCATTCCATGACCTGCTGTCCTTCCTTCTTCCCAGAAACTCTGACAAGGGGGAACTGAAGGTGAGGGGGTGGGAGGGGAGTTGGCAGTGACCCTTATATCATGCTCTAGAGGTGCCAGAGCTAGTCCCCTATGGGTACTGTTAAGAGGAAAACTTCCGGTATTGTTGCAGGGGGTAAGTGCACATGCCTAACTGGGAATCAACATAGGCAAAATGTCTTGAACACCACTTATGGAACAAGTAACTTTTTTTTAATATGCTGATTTTAACCTGCTATTACTACCCGAGCTCTGTGGGAACTGTCAATGCCTGCTTGTACTGAATTTGTTTTAAGAGCTTCCACTCTTGAAACTGCCTTAATTATTCATGTTGCAGAGGGCAAGAAATGCCATGTGTGGTGGCTTTTATTCTACAGCAGTGCTCTCCAACCTTTTTAACCACAAGGTCACTTTTTCCATGTAAGTGCAATGTAAGATCTACCTCAAACCCAAATAGTGCTGCCCCACTTCCTTCCCACCCCTTCTCTGAGGCCTCACCCTGCTCACTCCATCCCCCTTCCTTCCCTACCAGGCTGGCATAGGGGGTAAGGTGTAGGCTTTGGTCAAAGGATTTGGAGTGTGGGAGGGGCTCTGAGCTTAGCCTAGGGTGGGGGATTGAGGTTTAGGATGGGATTCAGGGTGCAAGCTCTGCGTAAGAGTTTGGGTGCAAGGAGACTCAAGTCTGGGGCAGGAGGTTGGGGGTAGGAGGTGATTCAGGATATAGGATCTGGCTGGGCACTATTTAACTAAAATAGCTTCCGGCTGGTGGGGCCGTGGGGTTAAGGCAGGCTTACTCCTGCCCTGGCCCTGCACCCCTCCTGAAAGCAGCTGCCATGTACAGCAATGCCTCTATGGCTACAGGCACTGAGCCCACAGTTTCTACTGGCCAGAGGTCCCCCTTATTGATCAATGGGAGCTGCAGGAGCGGTGTCTGCAGGCAAGGACAGCATGTAGAGACCCCCTTCTCTGCCTCTCTCAGGGGCTGCAGGGAGATGCCAGCCACTTCCAGGAGCAGCAATTAGCACTGGGATAATTAATCCAGCTGCAACAGGTTTGGCATTTTAGAACTCACTCCTCCAAGAATTAAATCGTAAAGTATGAAATGCACAGACCAGTCAAACTAACCCACTTTGCAAGCAGTAAAAAAAATAACAACCACCCTACGTATGTGTTGGGTCGAGAGCTGAGAGGGAAGGACAGTGTGTAAGAATGACAGACACACACACACTGTGTGAGAGTGACAGAGATTTGAATTGCTAAGCTCCCTCCATCCCCTTCTCTCCATGTGGAGCTAGGGTATGGGGGGAGGGACACCCTGACATCAGCACTCTCCCACACTCTGCACAGCAAGTAGGATGCTCCTGGGGGGCAGCTCCAAGGCAGAGGGCAGGACAGTGGAACAACTGAAGTGCCAGCTTCCCAGCCAAACCAGTCAGGGTCACCTGTCAGAGGCTCCAAGATCTACCCGTAGATCCCAGTCTATTGGTCGGTGACCACTGATTTAAAGCTACTATCATGTACTTAGAGCATTTGCATATAGAAAACTTCTGATATTGAGTAATGCAGAGTTTGGTGTAAGGAAAAACCCACTAATACGTTGTTCTGGAGGGAAAATATTGTCTACAACAGAATGGATTATCCAGACTTGACTAAATAGATTTATGAAGAATATATAACTGTTGATACTGCCCTAATGCCCCTCGCCCCATTTAAAAAAAAGAAGGGACTTATTCTAGAGCAGTGATCCTCATATTTTTTACCTTACACTCACCCTTACCCCTTCCATCCTGCCTTTCAGAGCCAGGAACAGGAGTGGGGCTGCAGCTCTGGGAGGGGGAGACATGGACTGGGTAAGGGACCGGCAGCTGATGCTACAGCTGGGACAAAGTTTCCTCTAAGCTGGGGGAGAGGTGGCAACACAGCCTTGCCCAGCCAGGGGCTTCGTGCATGGTGCTGCCTGACTTGGTGGGGTTGATTAAGCAGCTGCATGGCCATGCTGCCACACAGCTTAGAGGGAACCCTGAGCTGAGGGCAGGGCTGGGTGATGTTCCCTCCGTATGCCCCCTATGTTCCTCCACAACCCTCTAAGGGGGCATGCCCCATTGCACAGTTTGGGGACCTCTGAGTTTTAGAGCCATTATTCAAATATCTGATTATTGGAAAAAACTGTAGTAAGTGAAGTGGGGACACACAATGGTCCAGTATTCCATTAGAAAAAAGCAAACTACTTATCACACTGATACAGTTGAAGGGAGCTCAGTTAATGCACTATTTGCAGATGGAGCTGGGCCAGAAGAAATGTGGGCTGAGACCCAGCTGGGGAGTAGGGATGTAAAAGTGTAACAATGTAAATGATTAATTGATAAGCAATGCTTATTGGGTTCCATTATGGCTACCTGCTGGCTTCTCGGATGGACCACCAGCCCTGCTCTCATACTGTTGTATAATAAGCTATCTAGCCTAAGGGCTTTTAGGGTTCCATTACAAGCCCTGCCGTGAAGCAAAACAACCTGGTTGCGTCTAGACTGGCATGATTTTGTGCAAATACTTTTAATGGAAAAGTTTTTCCATTAAAAGTATTTGTGCAAGAGAGCGTCTACACTGGCATGGATGCTTTTGCCCAAAATCGTGCCAGTCTAGACGCACCCCCTGTCATTTAGCTGCAAGGGAAATTATGCACTTACAGAACTAAGGGCTCCATTTTTTTTACCAAGAGGAAATGCATCTCCGCTGTATTGACATCCCTAACGTGTCAGACGTCGGTTCTGTTTTGTTTCTTGGGTAAAGATGAGCCC